TGGCAGACACAACGGACAATAATACAACCTGTAACATAATGGCAGAAACAACCGACAATAATACAACCTGTAACATAATGGCAGACACAACCGACAACAATACAACCTGTAACATAATGACAGAAACAACCGACAACAATACAACCTATAACATAGAGGCAGACACAACCGACAATAATACAACCTGTAACATAGTGGCAGAAACAACCGACAACAATACAACCTGTAACATAATGGCAGAAACAACCGACAACAATACAACCTGTAACATAAAGGCAGAAACAACTGACAATAATACAACATGTAACATAAAGGCAGAAACAACCGACAATAATACAACCTGTAGCATAATGGCAGAAACAACCGACAATAATACAACCTGTAACATAGTGGCAGAAACAACCGACAATAATACAACCTGTAACATAGTGGCAGAAACAACCGACACTAATACAACCTGTAACATAGTGGCAGAAACAACCGACAATAATACAACCTGTAACATAATGACAGAAACAGATGAAAACAAGAAAAAAAACGACTTGTAATATCACGACACTAACAGACAAAATGTAATTAAACGTCATTAACAACTGACAAGAAAAACGTCATTAACAAAATGTACCGTGATAACGGAAACAAGCAAACGATCTGAAGACACTAACAAACCTACAATATAACTTTAGAAACAACCCTCCCACTCACCTCAGTGCTCAGCAGTAAGCTCTAGTTTTTATGAGTCTAAACTACTGTGTTCGATCCCCGTAGTAGGCTCAGCGAAGATAGTTCATTGTGTTACTTTGCACACGAAAACAAACAAGAAACCGAATAGAATCAGTTGACGACTCCACCGTTTTTAAAAATGCATAATAATGTATCGTATAAAGTTAAAAACAAATGTTAAACTAAACAAAGAACAAAAACAACAACTCCACCATCTTCAAGAGATAAGAAAAACGCAGGACATTTCGTTCATACTTAAATAAATGTACATGTCCAATTTGCATATTGTACAGTGGCACCATTTACAAAATTGATTTCCAGAAAGTTACTTCTGTGGCACCAAGACCTAAAATCTCTATTATTCAAAATGCTTTTGTTTCTAATAATTCCCTCATGTTTAATTCTATGTTCGATTTAACATCTTTAAGTATTTGTACATTATCCCAATCAATATCACGTGAATAATTCGCCACACGTTGGAATCGTCAACTGGTATTACTAAATCCGTGCGCAAAAAAAAAACTGCCAGTCGAATATATTAAACACCCGATAACCGAAATAAAACAATAATTTGTAATGCCGCTACATTAGTGACAACCAAAGGGAAATAATAATGGCAGTAACAACTAACTGAGTAATAAAAACTAATAATTAATGTGTAATGTAATGGCGGAAACAATCGATAAATATTGAATTGTGGTGTAATCTTATCAATAACTGACAGACGAACAACATTAACAATCTGATTTACTGGCATTCCGATACCCAAATCCTATATAAATTCACGTTGTGTGTTTGTGAACTTGTGAATTTATTTGTTTGTCTGAGATGTCTTCCCACAGTTTTAGAGGTGTTCTTATCTATATGGTGTATCCCCCCTACTAAGATCGGTACCAAGGGAGGGGGGTTAAACGCCCCCGGGAGGTCAGTCGGGCATAATGGTAGACTAAAAATAGGTTTGTAGTATTATTAAAACCGAATCTGGCATCGGATTTTGTCTTCCTGACGCCCTCCCCCCTCGGGATACAGGAGGCAACACGATAGAAATTATTTTCAAACCCTCTAGTTACAAGCTAGCTGAACGAAGTGTGGCACACATACCCAAGTACAACGAAGCATATTTTCGGGTACGGACCCCGCTTCGGTGAAGCTACAGAAGCAACTGGAGATAACGAAGGAGCTTTATTGGTTCGTTGGAGCCTCTGTGATACACGAGGAGGGTTTTAAACCCCCCAGCGGGTATTTTATGCTATTTACAACAAACCACACACTGAAAGCTGTCAGTGTCATTAACAGTACAGTATTTTTATTTTTTTTAGTGAACCAAACATTACCTCATTTACTTTATATGAGATTATATATATATTCAGTGTTTGTCAGAAAGCTAGAAATATATTCTCTATTAATTCTTGTAATTTATTAAAACTCAGTTTAGAGCACGTATTCTCTATTAATTCTGGTAATTTATTAAAACTCAGTTTAGAGCATGTATTCTCTATTAATTCTGGTAATTTATTAAAACTCAGTTTAGAGCACGTATTCTCTATTAATTCTTGTAATATATTAAAACTCAGTTTAGAACACGTATTCTCTATTAATTCTTGTAATTTATTGAAACTCAGTTTAGAGCATGTATTCTCTATTAATTCTGGTAATTTATTAAAACTCAGTTTAGAGCACGTATTCTCTATTAATTCTTGTAATATATTAAAACTCAGTTTAGAGCACGTATTCTCTATTAATTCTTGTAATTTATTAAAACTCAGTTTAGAGCACGTATTCTCTATTAATTCTGGTAATTTATTAAAACTCAGTTTAGAGCACGTATTCTCTATTAATTCTTGTAATTTATTAAAACTCAGTTTAGAGCACGTATTCTCTATTAATTCTTGTAATTTATTAAAACTCAGTTTAGAGCACGTATTCTCTATTAATTCTTGTAATTTATTAAAACTCAGTTTAGAGCACGTATTCTCTATTAATTCTTGTAATTTATTAAACTCAGTTTAGAGCATATTGGACGTTTGGAATACTTACATCTTGGTGACGATGTCTTTCATGGATTTTTAAATTGATTGGAAACAAACAGAAACTAGTTAATTCTTTACGTCAGCCTGAAGGCGGTAAAGGTACTAGTCTGTAACCC